TTTAGCAGAGTGATGGCATAGGGGAGGGAAGAAATAACTCTTTGTCCAGTTGTTTTGGTGTGCAATGCCCTATAGCAGCATCTTGCCCTGATAGACTAGTCCCACCAGAGGGAAAAAACATCAGTGAATGAATGATATGCTATATTATTATGAGTAGGCAAGGCCACTAGGCCCAGATGAGGCTATTACACAACATTATGTAAATAAATGAATACATCTATTCATTAATCTTGTGCAAATTCTCTGATACTTATAGGACTTGAAGGTGTCTTCAATCCTAATCCTAATCAAAGAAACATCCAACCTAGAACTAAGGAGCAGTTCCTGGAAGTTAATCAATGGAACAGCTTGCCTCCAGAAGTTGTGGGTGATCCAACGCTGGAGTTTTTAAAGAAGAGACTGGACAGCCATTTGTTTGGAATGGTACAGGGTCTCCTGCTTGAGAAGGGGGTTGGACTAGAAGACCTCCAAGGTCCCTTCCAACTCTGTTATTCTGTTTTCCTGTGCTCTCTTGGCTTCAAAAAACTTAGTATATCATTTGAACATGAAGTGACATCTTATGCTTCATCACAGTCAGAAATGCTTTTCTAGCACTCTTGGATTTTACAGCAGAACTTTACAGAAGTAATTCCATATTTAGTAATTCAGGGAGCTAAAAGATGCCCTAAAATAATGAAGAGTAGCTCAATAACTAAACCATCAAAACGAAAAGGGGTTATCAGATCTGGACTGCCATATTCTGGATCACCACTAAACATAATAAGGATATATGTAAACGTAATTCTTAAATCAAATTAATTTAATTGAACTAATTAATTAAATTTAATTAAAACAATTAATTAAATTTAATTGAAATAATTAATGAAAGGAATTTAATTTAATTGATTCTTTTACAATCATCTAGAGGTTGTTGTTTTTAGTCAAGTTAAAGATCCATTTCATTAAAAGAAAGCAAGCACATATTACCAATCTAAGTTTTCACCTCTGTGACCCACACTGTCTTTTACTCTTAAAAATAAGAATATTCTTATTTTTGTTGCATCCCATCCTCAGTAAATCTATAGTTCATAACATGATAATAAATTCCTATTTTTAATATATAATTATTTTTAACAGCATTGAACACTAAAACAGAGCCATAGTAGAACAAGCCCATGCTGTATAAATCAAACCCCCAGCTGTAGTGATTCAGGGTCTTCTCCATGGAATAAAGAAATCATAAGTACACATTTAAAAATGCATATATATATTTAGGGTTTGAATGTTCCCAGTAGATCTACATTCAGTTTCTTTATTCAGACAATCTTTATTCAGAAGATGTGCATGTAGTCCTCATTTACGATGACCAATGAGCCCAACATTTCTGTCACTGAGAAACTTGTTAAGTGAGCTTTGTGCCATGTTACAACCTTTCTTGCCACGGTTGTTAAGTGAATCACTGCAGTTTTTTTTAAGTTAGTAACACAATCAGTAGATGATTCTGGAGTCCCCATTGACTTTGCTTGTCAGAAGGTCGTAAAAGGGGAACATATGACCCAGGCACCCTGTGACTGTCATAAAAGGGAATCAGTTGCCAAGTCTGTTTAATTGGTGCAGTGGTTAAAGTTTCAGACTAGGAATTGGGAGTTCTAGTCCCACTTTAGGCACAAAGCTAGCTGGGCAACTTTGGACCAGTCAGTTTCTCTCTGCTTTTGAAATGAGCCAATGGCAAGCTACTTCTGAAAAATCATGCCAAGCAAACTTTCAGAATTGGACATGATTCAACAGAAGAATACATGTACAGCATTTTGTACACATTTTATATGTGCGTTGCTTGTAGGAAAAGGTGTTTTACGTATGTTTCTCTAATGTTTGTAGTGTTGTACATATTTTACCCCAATATGTGCAATTTTGTACCTGGGAGGGAGGACTGAAAAATTCTGAAAAGGATGGATTATGTGTTTTAGTTCTCCAAAGATCAATGCAGCAGATACCAAACCAGCATATGTGCCTAAAATGTTAATGAAGAGAATTTCTCATCCAGACACTTCTTGAATTCTGAATGTGCACTGAACAGGGCAGATAAGTTCTCCCAGCTTACTAGATGAGTGAGAAGGAGACATGAAAAGCTCACTTGGTCTGGGTCAAATTTCTTCTCACAAGATTGGTTGAAATTCTGTCTGTCCAGTTCATTCTTATGTTCCGCATTTTTGTTTTCCAGATATGTGTCTAATGGGAGTATGAACAAAGAGTTAACTGAAATGAACTGGGGGAGGAGGGGTTGTAGTAAAATATTCAAGTGTTTATGCTGCATTAAAATAGACGCTAAATCACAATTTTAACAGAATGTTAAGAAATTAAAGCTGGAACCACATGGTGCAGCTGACAAGCATTAGTGATGAAGTGTGTTCATTTGTCCCTGTGAGAGCTTTTGCTTTTAGTTGTTCGTGCAGAATCCTTGCTTGTTAGACAAAATAATTTCTGTTTAGAAGCGCCATTGTTTCTGACACTTTAGAAGGGTGAATAAACAAGGTAAAGTACAGAGAGGAAGAACTAAATGAAAATCTTTCAGCCAAATTGCTGTTTAGTGGTAATACCTACCAGCTTTGGGCTCTGCTGTGTTTTGTCAGTAATACATCAGCTCCAACATTTATGTCAGAGCTCTCTGCAGATAACACTATTGATTGAAAAATGACAGCTCCAAAACTATATGGTGGAACAGGAGGGAAGGAAGGGGTCTAAATATGACTTTAGTAGCAAAATGGCTGATTACTCTCCATCATTTAGTTCTTTAACCTACTTTCTGAAGAGCTTTGCACATTAACATATCAAGATCACACAAGATGTCATCCCCGTGCCTGCAAATAAATAGGTATGATAGCATTGCTAACATCAAAACTTACCTTCCTCACTGTATTTGTCCCTCTACCTTCTCATCTCTCTCTTTTTTAATGCAACCCAGCAATGTTGCTTAACTATAGACCTGCTGATGTAGCAGAGTAATGCTTCTAGCATTTCCTGACTCACTCTTCTGCTACATCCTTGGGTAATATTAGTATCTCAAACTCCTTCACCAACTTTGGTGGTTCATAAAGTACAGAGACAGACAGAAAAATGGTTATCCAATCTCTTCTTAAAAACTCTCAGTGTTGGAGCATTCACAACTGGAGGCAAGTTGTTCCATTGATTAATTGTTCTAACTGTCAGGAAACTTCCCTTAGTTCTAAGTTGCTTCTCTCTTTGGCCAGTTTCCATCCATTGCTTCTTGTCCTGCCCTCGGGTGCTTTGGGGATTCCCTCTTCTTTGAATTCCAGCAACAGTTCTTTATGTGTTTTAGCATCCAGTCCCCTAATTTTCTTTGTTGCCATAGGCAGGAGTAACGTGGTTACAGTGATTCCTGGTCTAGTAATTGCCACATTTGATGCAATGTCTTAAACATGGGGCACCCCTGATCGCCCCCCCCCCAAAAAAAAACCCTGTATCATTTTGTTGTAGATATAATATCCAAAGTTTGAGGAGTTACATAAGTTATGCCGATTTGATTTAAGATTAACTCAGTGTTTAAATTTGCAGATGAAAGAGGGGTTAGTGTCCTATTATTCTATGAATGAAAACTTTTCTCAAAGCTCCAATGTTGCAAAAAGTACACTACAGGTAGTCCTCGACTTACAACAGTTCATTTAGTGATCATTCAAACAACCGTTACATCATCACTGAAAAAAAAAAGATTTATGACCATTTTTCACACTTACAACCGTTGCAACCAATCCCCATGGTCATGTGATCAAAATTCAGATGCTTGACAACTGAGTCATTTTTGGGACAATTGCAGTGTCCTGAGATCACTTTTTTGTGATTTTGTGATCTTCTAATAAGCAAAGTCAATGGGAACCCAAACTCACTTAACAACCATGTACTAACTTCACAATTGTTCACTTAACAAATGGAGCAAAACTTACTTAACAAATGCCTCACTTAGCAACATAAATTTTGGGCTCAATTGTGGTTGTAAGTTGAGGACTACCTATACTTATTTATAAAGGAGAAGATTTTCTCTCCTGAGGCTCCTTGGCTCCAACATGTCTTCCCAAAGGCTTTATACCAATTTTATGCTTTAAAATCAATGAAGGGAGGGGAAGGAATATTGAACCTGATTAAGAGAAAAAGGCGTGAAATGGAGAGGCTGTGTATGTTAGCACTCTTCAAATACCTAAAAAGATGGACCTGTTCTCTATCACTTCTGGAAATACAACACAAAATAATAGGTTTGGTTATAGGAAAGCAGATTCTCATTGAATGTTGGGAAAGAGGACTTAATGTGGCAGGCCTCTCTTCAGAAACTGCCTGCAGGCAATTAGGATGTCAGGGTTCCAACTAATACTCCACAACAGAATCAAAATTCTGAGGCAGCAACATTCCTCAAAGTATAGATTTATTAGGCATGTCATATTGGCACATCTGGGGAAAACCCAATTCTGGCAGCCCCTGTGATGACCCGGGATGTGGCACAAAGGCTACACAGTCAAATAAGCAAGAAGAGTCCCTTTATTATTTCCAACTTTGCCCCTAATGTCCAGGTTACCTTCAGCTGGAGAAAAATTCTCCCAAGAACAGTCTTTAAGTAGAGGAAATTCAGTCTGAAAATGAAGTACATACAAAATATAACTAACAATCCAAACAAACCACACTAATAAACAAACCACACAGTAATTAACTTGACAGGGCAGGAGAAGGAATTGCAGACTTGATAGCACAGCAAAACACACACAGTTGGGAAGACACCAGGAGCCCAGATAAGCCTTGTCAATTCCAGATAATTCACAATTTGGTCCCAATAACTTGCTGTGTGCAGCTTCTTTTTTTAAACACTGTGTTCCCAGCTGAAGCTAATGAAGGGAATCAGGGCCCTTTCCTCCTTCGTAAGCCATGCAACTCATGTTGCTTCCTTCTCCGTTCCTCTCTGCATGCCCTAGGATGAAGAGGGGGTGGGCCTGGGTCCTTTGAATTCCCTTGCTGTACCTCTCCCCTGCTCTGCCCAGCTGGCCTTTGCCCTTCCCCAGTTTCTTCCACAGCCAACAGAGCCACCTCCCACTCCCTGTCAGATGCTTGGCTTCCCACTCTGAATCAGATTCTGACAGGAGCATGACAGCCCCACATTTTCCTCACTGTCAGATGGTGTTCCATTCAAATTCCAAGAAAGAAATGCTTAGACTACATTAATTAGAGAAAAGATATATTTTACTGGAAATCAAGTGGTAGCAACAAAAGAATTCTGAATCTGAGAAAATGAGCACGTAAATCACATATACAAAGTGATGACAACATTCCCACCCCCAATAGTTCAATTGGCTCATCCAATTAAAAGTTGTGTATAGCATCATGTGGGCATCTCCAGGTGGTGATGAGGCCTCTGTCCGTTGACCTTGACATATTTTGATAAAGAGTTGTAGTTGCACATAGCATAGGATAGAAGCCTAAGCAAGAATCTCCCACCCCACAACATATACATTTCTGTTTCTGAAAACCTCCAGCTTGCTTCCCATATTCATGTGTCCCCCCCCCCCCCCCCAGTTACTTATGACAGCCGAAATATGCAAAGCAAAGGAAGTAAATCTTGAAGGCTGACACCCACCCAAAGTAAAGTCAACATTCCAATCGATCCAGATTGTTGGGGGCAATATGCTGACTCTAAACCACTTAGAGAGGGCTGTAAAGCACTGTGAAGCGGTATATAAGTCTAAGTGCTATTGCTATTGCAATAAAGAATGCAGAATGCTCATGAATAATGGATCTCCACAGAATGAAAATTCTTGACCAATGTTTTTACCCTCTCTGCCACCTTGCTAACCCACTTCCTTTTAATAGTTGCAAAATATTTTAACTGCTTGTTTCATTCCCAAGCAATCACCTGGTGTTTTGCCAACATTTAGTACTGAAAACTGTAAAACAACCACAGCAATCCATTTGAGATCCATACATTATGCTTAGTCTTGGATCTTTACATTTCAGCCTGGAATATTAACTTCCCCTTTGCCTTTCCAAATCACTTTTTGCACATTAAGATCAGAGGGTGCAGCATTATAATATAAAATGCTTTGTTTGAATGGGTTTAAACATTTGCAAACAATGGTACGATTTTGTTTCTTTAGTTGCTTACTGTCACCTCAGCAAGCAAAAAAGCCACCTCACTTCTCTTTACATTAAGGCCACTTTGTAATAGATTTTGCAAATCTGAAAAAGACGGTAGTGGTTTGTCAATCATTGAATGGCCTGCACAGTCCATCCACATTAGGAAAATTAATTGCAACCTTCACACTACTTCTAGAGGTGTTCAGCAGAGGAATCAAAGAATCCTCGCTATAGTAAACTTACTGATAAATACTGCCCTAAATTACACATATCCAGTTTCCAAAACTATAAGATTCAGTTTCGTGTAATGCAGACCTGAGTATTTTATGCTTTGTGGACCACATTCATTCATGGCAACATCAGGGATGGGCAGCATTGGTGGGTTCAGGATCAGGTCATCTCTGAGTTTGGGGCCACAGCGGAGGACAAGGCCATGGTATTGGTTCTCCATAACAGTCCCAGTTTCTCATATGGACCCTTGGGAAAAATATTTGCTCACTCCTGGGATAATGATTAAAATGCTTAGAAACCTAGAAACCAAGACAGTGTGAGTTCTAGTCCCATTTTAGGCATGAAAGCCAGCTGGGTGATTTTGGGTTAGTCACCCTCTCTTAGCCCAATTCACAGAGTTGTTGTGGAGAAAAATAAGAGAAGGAAAATGTATTAGTTAAGTTTATTCCCTTGAATTATTCATAAAAAAAATAAAAGCAGGACAAAAGCAGATCTCTTTTTTCCTTTGCTTAAATCTGGTTGAATTGATTGTGTAGGAATCTACTCTTCTTGCTTATGAACGAATGTTTAGTGCCTGACATATTGCATACCAGACCTTGGCTAGTGAAAGACTAGTACCTGATATGGTATAGGGTAATATTCTATGACAGTCAATTCATATACCATAGAAACTCTTTACACATCTAAAACACTTACATTAACACTGAACAGCAAAACAAAAAACACAAATATACAACTACAAATATTAATATCAAATAAGTTGAGATTCCTAAACGGCAGGGTCACATACAAAATTAACACAAACAAATCACAAAGCCAGTTCAGAAAGAAAGCTAGTACAACAGCAGTTGTGCATGCTTCAACCGTGGAGGTTTTTAAGAAGAGAATGGACAACCATTTGTCTGAAATTGTATAAGATTTCCTGTCTGAACAGGGCAGGGGTGGGTTTCTACCGGTTCCATCCACCTCTGTAGAACCAGTAGCTCTGAAGAGCAGCAGACATAGAAGTGGTTCTATGTCTGCTGATGTTTTTGCCCACCTGCCCACCCGGGCTCTTACCTGATCTTTATTTCTTGATTTTTCAATTTCAGCTGCTGAACGAGGCACAGTTGCAGTTAAAAATGCAGGAAAAGAGGGCTGTTTCAAAGGCTGCGTCTCTGCACACAGCATTCTGATGATGATTTACAGGTGCGCAGCTCACAGCATGCAGGGAAGCTCATAAATCCCGAACCCATAGTTAACCCTGTCATATCCCACCCCTGGAACAAGGGATAGGACTAGGAGACCTCCAAGGTCCCTTCCAACTATATTATTCTTTTTTATGTTTTTCTGAATGTCTGTTGTCCAAAAAAAAACTGTAAACAAATGAGTTGCAGAATGTTATGCATTTGAGAAGTAAGGGCCCAAGTGAAAACAACACCTGAAACCATTGTCAATAGTACAACAGCAAAAGTACATGATGTAGTTACTAAGCAAGACAAGGGTGGTGTTAAACAGCAAGGGCTCTCTCTACCCACTCCCAAAAAATGACCATAGCTAGGATTTAAGTCCTGGATTTGCCCATTGGTAGCACTTCCAGCTGGGCTTTCTTTAACTGTCTGGAAAGACCAATGTAACAATTACCTTGGTAAATGTTTGGCCTCCTGAAGATTAAGTGTAGATCTCTTTTCTTATTCTCCCTTTTCAAACATGTAATCCTTCCTACTTGTAGTCCCATGGATTTCAGGAAGTGCATTTAAAAGTAGTTCAAAAGTAGACCCAATTACTTACAGATCTCCTTTATTGAGTGGGTCCAATGAAGACTGGATAGACATTTTTTTTAAGGAGGCTATAAGCTTATTTCCTATACTGAACAGAAAGTTGGACTCTGTGTCTCTCAGTGCTAGGAGTTTTCAGATTCTGACAGTGCAAGCTCAAACTTCACTGTATGTGAGAAGATTTCAAATATTATTATGATTTCATACAACATATTTTCCCCACTGCTGCCTTGAGCATGTCCTCAGTGAAAGGCTATGCTGGCAGACAAGAGAAGAGGGAAAAATCACCCAGTTGTAATAAATTGGAAGTTGCTAGCAAATGCTAACCATTGGATATTGTGGCCCGATTCCCAAGCCTATGCTGTCAGAGGAAGAAGACCTGGAAGATAAGGAGGAGGAACTGGGAATGCCTTCCTCCCCAGGACCTTCCTCTCTGGCAATGCCTTCCTCCCTGATAATGCCTCAGGTTTCATCAGACAACCGAGAGGAACAGCCTGAGATTAATCAGGAGGAAGGCATATCGGAGCATCCCCTGACAGGGAGTAAAGAGGAAGAGTCTTGGCTTGATCCTAAGCAGCGTCGTAGGGAGAAATGTGAGCAGCAACATAGGAGGCGTGGGAGGGTCAGAGAGTGAGCTGAGTCATTGAGCCACACCCCACAGGGGATAAAAGTGGGTGTGTTTTCGGCTAGAACTTTGTACAGGACAAAGTTTAATCTTACTTCAGATTTTCTTTGTGAATGATTTTTGTGGACTGCCTTGTAATTTTCTGTGAGTAGATTTTTATTTGTTATCAGTTCGGACTTGGCAGGCAGAGGGTGTTGGAATGCCAAGGATATTATCAGTTCCAAAGAATTAACTCTGTGAAGTCCAAGCCAGCTTGCCTGCCTGTGTTTGTGTGAGTTTGTATTCTTTCATCTTTTGGGAAAGAAGAAAAGTGAGACAGAACAGATATCCTCCTGTTTTTTGTCATCACTTCCAAAACCTTATTTGGAAGGTTAGGGAGAATACTAATGGCAGATATAAACAGGCATATAATTGACCCCATAACTTTATTCCCTTGCACTATTTCCATCTTTTCTTCCTTTGTCTGCTTTAGAAGTGTGGAAAGTGAGCCATCAGACTTCCTTCCCATCTGTGAATGTCTACTTAATAAGGCATATTTTTATATTGCTGGCACCAATTTGTCTCCTTTGTGTCAGCATGTTTCTTATCATTCTCATTAGGCCAATGCAAGGATGGTTGCTTTTTTGATGTGGGTATAATAGCGATTAGTTCAAGGCTTCTAACAGGCTGGGGGCGGAGTACCTTCTGTTATGAATCATTGGTGAGATTCATTTATGTATATATTTGTGCCATATGTTATACTGGGAAGAAGAGGAAAAGAAGTAAAAGGAGAAGACATTTAAAGGGGAAAAATATATTTTGTGTGCATAGAAATAGCACTTTGAAAAATTGTTACTGTTCTTCAAAACACCTTATGCTGAGGAAAAACGTCTACGGAAACAGTCCCACTCTTGATTCTTTGGCTGATTACTTTTTTTCACTTTGGCTGGTTCTTTGCCCTAGATCCATTTCAGCATTCAGAGTCCAGCAGATGGAAAGCATAGAAGTGGGATTTTCTCCCACATGTGCATGTTTGTACATGTGTGTACAAAGGTATGTAATGTCTGTTATGTATTATGTTTTCAATACCTTGTCTTTGGAGATTCTCAGTCATCCAGGTCATGGTTGTCCCCAAAGTGCTTTTTAAAGAGGCAACTGGACTTTGTTTTTTCTTTGAAGATGTTTTATTTCATCCAAGCTTCTTGGATGTTTCATTTCTCATCATGCTTCACATTCTCATCCAAGCTTCCAAGTCCAGTTGCCTTTTGAAAAAGCACCTTTGAAATATTTTCAGTACCTTATATTTATTGTCCCAAACAATTCCAAATCAGCAATGCAATTCCTTCAAAAGCAATCAAACAAGAATTAATGGAGGGGCTTATTTAAAGAGTTAAACTTTAAATAAAAAGCCACTCTGTACAAATATTCAAAAAGTAGATAGTACTTTGAAGGTCTTAAGCACCTTAAAACCATAATAGCAAGCCAGAACAGACACAATAGTTTCACAGATACAAGCCTGGGAGCAGAAATAAAGTTGAAAGTGTTGTCTGAAGTTTATAAGACTTGATGTCAACCCCAGCTGAACAATGAGGGAAATTCATGTCTGAAACATGAGTTGAGAATGTTGTCTTTCAGGTTACTAAACAGAACTGATTATTCAGGTATGAAGTTATATAGCACCTTGTATTTTATTTTATTTATTAAATGTATAGGTCATTCATCTCATGGTTTAAGTGACCTATAACATTGTGAGAACATGGTAGAAAACTGCAGCCTCTGTGACACTTCAGAATGGTTGTGATATATTCACAGTAGGTTGCCCAGACCATGAAAATTTGCAGTAGTTGCCGCCTTTGAACTATCTAAAAGTTTGACCCATATACAGAATGTTTTAAAAACATTAGCCTTGTCATAAGTTATACTCATCACTGTCACCTGGTTATTCAAGAATGATCATAGCTGGTAAACCAGCCAGAGCTGAAATATATTTTGTCAAGAAGATAATCCATTCTTCCACTGAGACTGCTGGTCAGAGGAACCTTCCCAATTTTAATAGTATCCTGGGTCCTTTAAAGTTACAAGTCAATTACCTTCTCAACTGCTTTTCCTGAAGAGGAAAGCTTGGAGACAGGATATACTAAACATTAATAAAAATATTTAAAAGGCTATATTATACTGTTAGATACAATTGTCCTTTTGAGAAGAAAATTGAACACTTCAATCAGTTCAGTGTTTACCACTATCTACATGTTGTATAATTTACCACTATCTACATATTGTTTAAGGACATGGTGACCAGCAGTTAAGACATTGGGTTTGTTGACCAGAAGGTTTGAGATTTGAGACCCAAGCACTAGGTGATGGGGTGAGTGCCCATTCTTGTCCCAGCTTCTGCCAACCTAGAAATTTGACAGCATGCAAATACAAGTAGATAAATAGGTACCACTTTGGTAGGAAGGTAACAGTGTTCCATGCACCTTCAATATATAGTCATGCTGGCCAAATGTCTTTGGACGATGGTGGCTCCTTCAGTTAGGAAATGGAGCAGACTACTGCCTGTTAGAATGAGACCTATCTGGACAGGGGAAACTTTTACCTTTATCTTTTACATGTTGTGACAGGAAGCGACCATCCAAAAGGGATGTAGATTTAATCAGGGTGGGATTCTACCAGTTTGCACCTATTCACTAGAACTGGTTGTTAACATTCTAAGCGGTTCAGAGAACTGGTTGTTAGAAGAAATTACTGGCCTAATCCTGTAAGGAGGGCAGGAAGGAAACATTCTGGTGTTGCTTACAGAAACTGCCTCTCCATTAACCTTTATTACATCTTGGCAGGACTAGACTTCTTGTCTCAGGAACTTCTCTGGAGTTTTTTTCCCCTCCTTTGCTGGTACTTTGCTTGTGTGGAGTGACAATTCAAAGTTACAATGGCACTGAAAAAAGTGACTTGTGACCATTTTTCACACTTACAACTGTTGCAGCGTCCTCACAGTCATGAGAGGCCAGGCGAGGAGATGTGTACCTCAATGTGAGTGATATTGAGTTGGCCACACCCAGCCAATAACCAAGCCATGACCACCCAGTCACATGACCACCAAGCCATGCCCACCACCTAAGCCATGCCCACAGAACTGGTTGTTAAAAAATTTGTATCCCACCCCTCGATTTAATACACAAGTGGCTGCATTTATAGCCCCAAGGCACTTGTCCATTTCCTTAGAATCAACAACTCAAACTCTTCCCAGATAACAAAGCCAAACAATGCCTTAGTTAGCTCCAGATATCAAAGTCAGACTGTGCCTCAGTTAACTCCACAAGACAGATAACAGATAATCAGAGTTGGAAGGGACCTTATAGGTCATCTAGTCCAACCCCGCACCCAAGCAGGAGACCCTACACCATTTCTGACAAATGGCAGTCTGATCTCTTCTTGAAGGTCTCAAGTGATGGTGCTCTCACAACTTCCAATGTTGAAATTGGTTGATTGTTCTCACTGTCAGAAAGTTTCTCCTTATTTCCAGGTTAATTCCAGGTTAGATACCTTGAATAGAGTGCCACCAGACATTCCTTGGGTTTCTTCCTCATCAGGAGAGCTAGGGCCACCTTAAACAGAATAAGAGCAGAAAAAGAGTTATGTTTTGCCACTTTTATTACTGAAAGCCAAGCATTATTTAATCTATGTTCAGGCAAATTTATTCTTTGTCTTTCTCAAGCAGTACTCCAGGTGTCTCTTCTGCTGTTTCATCTGCTGTTTCATCTTCAGAATTCATTTGAAAGTTAATGGACTGTCTGACACAATCCAACCCATGGGCAGGTTGTTGTCACTCTAAAATTCTAAGCAATGACTAAGGAACAACTTAAACCTCCATCTTAAACTCAACGGGTCCATCAGGTACTTGGGACAGAGCCATCCAACACGTTGACTCTCTTCAAGGCCCAAAGCAGTTGCAGAAAACAACAAAGCAATCAAAGAGTTATATTAACATCTCCTATCTCCAGATTGTATGACTACTGCCCTGAGAAATTAAATAAAAAAGAACTGATTTGTGACCGCCATTATGTCTCAAGCTTTTGCTGATATAGGACAGTTTCCATTGGTGGGATTCAAATTTTTGTATTACTGGTTCTGTGGCCGTGGCTTAGTGGGCGTGGCAGGGGAAGGATACTGTAAAATCTCCAATCAGAGGTGATATTTGCCAGTTCTCCAAACTACTCAAAATTTCTTCTACCAGTTCTCCAGAACTGGTCAGAACCTGCTGAATACCATCTCTGACAGTTTCATGTTTGCCATGATTTCAATGGACTCCACACACCCATTCAATTTCTCAAGTCCTTCAGCCACAGTATTAAGCAACTCAGATAAGAAAACTGCTACAGAGCAAGAAGTAGTAGCAATCCATCTGATTTCTAGATAGCTTCACCATCAGTTCTGGTTATGTGCATAATAGCATCTCCCCAAAAATTAATGAGCATTACATCTAAAAAATTTATCAATTTGGTACTTCAAAAACATTAAAATCAAGTCATTATTCAATCATTTAAATAGACACCAAATATAATAAGAATCATTCATCAGAACAACAATTAATAAAAGTGTCCATACTGGGAAAAAAACCCAGATCTAATGTTATAAAGTATATATAAAGATGTATATATAAAGAGAACTCCAGTGTTTAGATGGGATATAAGCCCATATGTAAAATTATAACCCATTAGGAACCTGGGGTTTTAACAATGGAAAGAACTGATCTTGAATAATTTCAAATTTTAAAAAAAGCTTGTGTAAATTGTTCATCTTGAAATCAAGAATACTAACAATGAAAACCTGAACTAGTATAACCATGATAAGGGACCTTAAGACTGGAATTACATCCATTTGTCTCATTATTTTCTCCAAATTAAGGGTTTCTAACTGTTGATAATTATTTCATTTATGAAAAGGTAGTAGCTATTTGCACAATACAATAACCTAGCATTGGTTAAGGTATGATTTCTTTAATTAACTCAGGGATCTGGATTTCATTACAATACAAAAGCCTCACAAACTCGTCAACTATATTTTTGTCTAGGGTAGCCATTATTATGTTCCCGGCTGCAAAAGGACTTCATTGGAAAACTAATGTGATGTCTTTAATGGGTGACGTGGTAGAAAAATCTTACCTTAAAAATATTTTTAAACATTTCTCATCCACTGTCTGAACTAGATATATAACCACTGTGGAAAGTATCACAAGAGAATCCCTGAGGAATAAAAGTACCTTGATCATAGCAGGGAACTGCAGTGGGGTACAGAACCATAAGTGCTGGAGGATTTAGAACAAGAAATTTAAGATATCAAGCAGGTTTTAGCTTACATTTGTAGTGATAGCATCACATACTGTATAGGAGATGATCTGAGACTGTCAGTATGATGTGAAGGATTAGCTGCATTCAGCTTCCACACCCGCTAAGCTTCCAAGCTTGATAGATTTACTATTCTAATCCTGTTTAATGTATTCCCTACTTCTTCATTTCTGATTATCTCCAAGTTTTCTAAAATTCAACTTTCAGTGTGACTGCGAGCCTGCTAATAAACAGTGTACTTTATTATTATTTTGCTTTTGTAATTCTGTTTATCTCCCTAAAATGTCCAGTGAGCTATTTGAATTCCACTCCAATATTTCAATATTAGCATGCATTATAGCAATGATAACATCAGTGGGGCAGGGTGTCTTGTTGTGGTTTGCCGGCGGCCGGTGCAGACGGCAGCAGAGTCAGACAGTGAGGAAGAAAGGGGACCTGTCAGGGGGTCTGGAGAGGACTTGGATGAGGGTCTTGCATCTGATGCAGGGATGGGGCCAGGACCATCTGGGAGTGGGGTGCAGCCTTCAGAGCTTTTGGAATCTGGCAGCAGCGAAGCAGAGGATCCAAGGGAGCCCGTTCCCAGTGTGTGTGTGTGCACAGAGCTGCTAGAAGGCAAGAGCAGTTGAAGCAGAAGGGGTGACTCGGGGAGTCACCCTCCCATAAGGGATAAAAGTCAGACCTCAATGACGAAAGCTTTGCAGGAAGCAAAGTAATTTGATAGATTCCGAGTCCTTTTTGAAGTTCTGGTTGTTTTTTCTGGTATTTTGAATGGTTTCTGTTATAATTGGATACTTCTGTTTTGGGCAACGTTCCACAGCTCTAAAAGGCATGTGCTTATCTTGGGGAGCTGTTTATAATTAGTTCCAGCTGGGAATGAAAGTAATTCCCAGCATTGCAATAAAATAGATTTTGCTTTTAAAATGAGTTTGTGTTTAAGTACATTTGATGAAGCCTGAGTCAGAACATGTCTAGCATGTTAAGGCTTAGATCTAATTCTAAAGGGCAGCTGAAAAGCTATTGGGCTGAATCTGGACGATATTACTTTAGCTTGCAAATCCTTCTCCAATGAAAATAATGGCAAAGCTAACATAAGGACCCCCAAAACAATAAACCTTGGTGGATAAAGATAGCTGGGGGTGGGGGAAGGACCTGTGTCTAGCTGTATCCATTTTCTACTTACTTTTTTATGTGGGAAAGATGTTTGTATGAAACATTCCTTGTAAAGTGTTGCAACTCAAACATTATTTTATGATGTCATCTGCAACTTTCACCAATTGCTTTCAGACAGTGTTAAGTAGCTTATATTTATGTGAGTCTCAACAAAGTAGATAGCAACTTGCTGCACTTTCTGAAGCTTACTGACCTTGTGCAAATATGAAGCCAATTTTATTTACTAGATCCTAAAAGCAAAAATCAGATAAGTTAAAGAAACAAGAAGAGTAAATGGTCTCCCCTGAAAAAAACAATTCTCTATATTATGCTTGACACTAGAATGTCTGGAAGGGTGCAGGCTGAATGTTTGTAACAGTTTGTATTGCTCAACTGCTATTATCTATTGAAGATGGGTGAATTCAAGTTTAATTGAAAGGAAAATATTTTTTTTTCATTATTATTAGTTAGCCAGAAAAACCAGCATCTGGAAATTATAAGTGAATCATAACATGGAAATTAAGCTAAGACTGTAATTGCCATAAGGCTCACTGGAAAGCTATTTTCATCAAAATCATTGGGAAATAAGTTTAGGATTGAAGTGCAGTAGAGTATTTGTTCCCTTTCCATCTGTGTCACACCAGAACACTTATTCTACTTTTGCTATTGCTATGGTGAGCAACTATTTTGATACCACTCCATCAGTAATTAAAAGGGAATTTGCAGTAGATTGTAGTATTCTTGGAGTGTACAAAGAAATGTGGTAGGATACAGGGTGTCATGATTCTCTGAAATTCAATGTCCAAGGCACAAAGATAGCCAAGCAGTGGTTAATAAGCAGAACCTAATAGTAGGCAATAGCTTAGGTTTCCACAAATTTTCTCAGGAGGAGTAAGAAACAGCTGCTGAGCTGATGGAAGGGAAGTCCTTGAAAAGGGAGATAGTGGGAAAGGGAAAGAAGAATGTTTGAAAGAAAAGAGAAGCCTGGGATAACTAGCAACTCAAGCTGGATCTAGACAGAGTTTGTTGTTGAAGATGTTGACTAATGAGTCTGAGATAAACTGGGTTACGCTGCATTTCTGAAAAGTGGCATATTTGAAGGAAGACTGGAACCAGACTTTCCAAAGTGGAGCAATGCATAGTCTGGGAAGAAGGCTGAGGAACTGGTCCACTTTCACCCAATTGAAGCTTACAAAATATCAAACAGACACAAAAGTTTTAGTACTATATAGTTAAACTGATACGATAGTAATCAGTCATGCTGCAACTATTACAGTATACTATCAAGCTACCCTTGAAGGCATGAGCTGTGATGAACATGCCTCAATGTGCTCATAGAACATCTCCGCTTTATAAACTGCACTGGTTACTGATATTCTTCTGGGTGGGATTCAAGGTATTGATTATAACTTTTAAAGTCCAACATGGTATAGGGCCTGGTTATGTGAGGAACTGCTAATTTTTGTGGTGTCTGGTATAAGTCAGGAGGGTTGGCATGCTTCAGTTATGCAATGTCCTTTATCAGGACCAAAAAATAATGTCTTCTCTGCCACACAATCTATGCTCTGAAATAAGATGTCCCTAAATATCTGTGTGGCTTCCACTCTCATAGCATTCCAGAAAGTCCTGATGCCTTATGTTAAGGGTTCTATCAGATATCTTTGTTAAAGTTTGCTAATAAGATGTTATCAATATCAATAGGTTTCAAAAATGCAAATGTACTTCTGAACTCTATGTCAAAAAATACATTATTTTATTTTATTTTATGAAGAACCAAGAATCAGGGCCAGAAAAAAAAGGATCAGTCTTCAATATAGGAATGGCAAGAGATTTATAGTCTTTGATCGCCAAAATGTGTTTTCTTGCTGTTTATGAGATAACGGTCTAGCTGTGTAATGGAAACACTGATCAATATTATTCAGAGTGGTCAAGATTTAATGATGTGTTTTAAAATTCGACAATGATTTCCTACATGTAGCATAATATCTTTTATTGTTTGTTTTTGTCTTTTTGCCCTTTTTGTCCTCTTTTTTCTTGCTTATTTCCATATGAAAGCAATATTTTAACCATGAAAAATGGTATCATATCACTACTCTGTGGTACTTCCATCACAAAGCTAATTTAGCACCATAACTTCTTAAAGTAGAGTGTCAGCATCTAAATGCAACAGCTGAGATGGAGATATGAGTTCTAGAATAGAATGGAACTACACTGCTCAAAAAAATAAAGGGAACAGAAAAATAAGACATCCTAGATCTGAATGAATGAAATATTCTTATTAAATACTTTATTCATTACATAGTTAAATGTGCTGGCAACAAAATTACACAAAAATTATCAATGGAAATCAAATTTAGCAACCCATGGAGGTCTGGATTTGGAGTTACTCAAAATTAAAGTGGAAAAAAACACTACAGGCTGATCCAACTTTGATGTAATGTCCTTAAAACAAGTCAAAATGAGGCTCAGTAGTGTGTGTGGTCTCCACATGCCTGTATGACCTCCCTACAATGCCTGGGCATGCTCCTGATGAGGTGGCGGATGGTCTCCTGAGGGATCTCCTCCCACACCTGGACTAAAGCATCCCCCAACTCCTGGAAAGTCTGTGGTGCAATGTGGCGTTGGTGGAATGAGCAAGACATGATGTCCCAGATGTGCTCAATTGGATTCAGGTCTGTGGAACAGACGGGCCAGTCCATAGCATCAATGCCTTCATCTTGCAGGAACTGCTGACACACTCCAGCCACATGAGGTCTAGCATTGTCGTGCATTTGGAGGAACCCAGGGTCAACCGCACCAGCATATGGTCTCACAAGGGGTCTGAGGATCTAATGGCAGTCAGGCTACCTCTGGTGAGCACATGGAGGGCTGTGCAGCCCCCTAAATAAATGCCACCCCACACCATTACTGACCCACTGCCAAACCGGTCATGCTGGAGGATGTTGCAAGCAGCAGAACATTCTCCATGACGTCTCCAGACCCTATCACGTCTGTCACATATGCTCAGTGTGAACCTGCTTTCATCTGTGAAGAGCACAGGGCGCTAGTGGCAAATTTGCCAATCTTGGTGTTCTCTGGCAAATGCCAAATGTCCTGCACGATGTTGGGCTGTAAGCACAACCCCCACCTGTGGACATTGGGCCCTCATACCACCCTCATGGAGTCTGTTTCTGACCGTTTGAGCAGCCACATGCACATTTGTGGCCCGCTGGAGGTCATTTTGCAGGGCTCTGGCAGGGCTCCTCCTGTCCCTCCTTGCACAAAGGCGGAGGTAGCAGTCTTGATGCTGGGTTGTTGCCCTCCTACGGCCTCCTCCACATCTCCTGATGTACTGGCCTGTCTCCTGGTAGCACCTCCATACTCTGGACACTACACTGACAGACACAGCAAACCTTCTTGACACAGCTCGCATTGATGTGTCATCCTGGAAGAGCTGCACTACCTGAGCCACTTGTGTGGGTTGTAGACTCCATCTCATGCTACCACTAGAGTGAAAGCACCGCCAGCATTCAAAAGTGACCAAACCATCAGCCAGAAAGCATAGGAACTGAGAAGTGGTCTGTGGTCAGCACCTGCAGAACCACTCCTTTATTGGGGATGTCTTGCTAACTGCCTATGCTTTTCATCTGTTGTCTATTCCATTTGCACAACAGCAGGTGAAATTGATTGTCAATCAGTGTTGCTACCTAAGTGGACAGTTTGATTTCACAGAAGTGTGATTGACTTGGAGTTACATTGTGTTGTTTAAGTGTTCCCTTTATTTTTTTGAGCAGTGTATTATTTCTATAATATGAGAACTATACTTCTGCAGATGCCACCTGGAATCATATTCTTTGAAGTCACATCCTAATCATTCATCTTGTAATCAGTCAAAATATCAAGATCATTTTCATGGACTCAAGTCATTTCATAATACCTTCACCTGAACAAAACACCAATAGATTTAAAGCTACACCACATTAGCTCAACATTTTCATGTTTAGGGACTCTGTAGTGCCTTCTCACAGTTTTTGGCTGGAGTACTCCAGATATAGCAGACAGCTATCTCCAGATACAACATCTGTCTTCTTTAGGCACTACAGACATTGATTAACTTGGTTAACTAAAACAGAAGCAACAGTCCAAAACATTTGAAGGCACCAGGTCAACAAAACGTTTGTTTTTCTGCTTAATTTTATTTATAACCCACATTTTCTTGGTCAAGTTGATGTGCTGCTGTTAATATAATTCAGAGGAATCACTGATGAAATCCAACAATTTTGGATATAATAATATTTCAGAATACAAAATAAAATGCATAAATAGCAACAATGTCCCCCAAAAAATGATGCGCGCACACACACACACACACACAAATGATGTTCTCTCTCTCTCTCTCTCTCTCTCTCTCTCTCTCTCCCCCCCCCCCCCCCCCCCCCCCCCTCTCTCTCTCTCTCTCTCTCTCTCTCTCTCTCTCTCTCTCTCTTTCCTAGGGGAGGAAAGCTGAGTCCAAAAATATGGATTCAATAAAACTGGACAAATGATATAATATACAATAAACAACCATATCTGAGGAAAGAAGTATTTGGAGATTTTGCAGTTAACTAATAAAGACTCAAATAAGTCTTCCACATAGCACCTGCACCATCCAAAACAACTCCCTTGAGCAAATTTCCACAGATCATGTGGTGATAGAGAAAATCTTAATTTTCTTTTCTCACTTTCACAATGAAGGCTCTCAATGCATTCTAAGACATGTTTCATTGGATCTGCTTTTTTTTATTTCTGCTGCTAGCCTTTTCACTGTCTGCCAGTCTGCTTCAACATCTGTAATAGAGGAAGATGAGAATAGACCTGGGCAACTGATCATTTCATGCAGACAGCAAGTCTTTAATTGAGAAACTTTGAGCAATAGCAAACTTTCTCCTGAGTAAATCTTGAAATTCCATAGAATCATCCTTTATTTTGGAACAATAAATACAAGGGAAACAATTTCAAGAAGAAAATTGAATGTCAGCCCATTTGTTGGATAACATAAGTACTTTACATGGTTCTTTTGCTTTGTGTTTTTAGACATAGCACTCCCACTGTAATGGCGGAAGTGTTTTGAAGAGAAATTATAGAAAGCACTGTTCTTTTAAGGCAATACAAATAAATTTAATACCACTGAAAGGATGATGTATGACTCTAGTCAGAGAGTTTGGGATTACTGCTTAATTCTCTACTGTTTGGCAGTCTCACGAAGCAACAATTTCATAATCAACTCCATGGCTCAGATTTCTGGAAGCAATTTAGAAATAAGCATTGAGTCCAAAAGACTATAGCCCAATGCCTCAGATTTTCTTCATCAATATGAAATGAATTTAAAGTTTAAGTATGGCATTTCATCTAATAATACATGTTCTATTATACACTGTTACAGTCTTATGAGATGCTTTCCCCCACTCCTTTTGGCATTTGTATGTAGCTTGTCGTGGTTTTTGTATTTACAGAAAGAGAATTGACATGTGGCTGGGAAGGATGGAAAAACCTTTTTGTTGGATATAATAATTCTCATGACTTTCTCAAACAATTTATTCCCCTAAAACTTTTTTAAAAAGGAAAATGCAGAAGAATCTGGGACTACCAATTTACATTTTTGTGTGTGCTAAATATCTGGTTTGTGTAGTGTATTCTTGACCTAGATTTTAGAGTTATGATATCATAACTCTTGAAAACTATTTTCAGGACTCCATTTGGAAAATTACTGGGATTTTTTTAAAGACTGTCCCTCTTTAAGGTTATAATTCAATGTAAATTTCAGCCCTTTCTTCTACATACTCTCCCTTTGATCCAACTGTATATTTATCCAAACATTTTTTCCCCATTTTATCATGCAATCTTTAACATGTTCGTCTTCTGTTTCCACTTTCAATACTCAGAAAGAGTTTATACAACTTAGCAACTATATGATCATCATTTGTCCCCAATTCCACATCAAATTCAGTCTTTCCATTTTCAAATATTTTTTTACCGTTGCTCTAGTGCTACATCAGTTGTTAATATATTACCTGAAATAAAAATAACATCCTAGGTAAAACATTCATCTTAATTACAGAATTTTTTCCCAAGAATAACAGTTGCAATTTTCTCCATATCATATCTTTTCAAACTTCATTCCATACCTTAAGATAATTATTTTGAAACAACGTACAATTCATATTAGCTCTAGCACCCAAATGTTTGACTTTAAAAAAAATCAAAGACCACATCTAGAATATTGCATCCAGTTTTGGTCACCAGACTATAAAAAAGATATTAAGATTCTAGAAAGAGTGCAGAGAAGAGCAACAAAGATGATTAGGGGACTAAAACATACAATGAATGGTTACAGGAACTGGGCATGGCTAGTCTAGTGAAAAGGAGGACCAGGGAGACATGATAACAGTCTTCCAATATCTGAGGGGTTGCCACAGAGAGGAGGGAGTCAATCTATGTTCCAAATCACCTGAAGGCCAGACAAGGAATAATGGATGGGAACTGATCAAGGGGAAATTCAACCTAGAAATAAGGAGAAATTTTCTGACAATGAGAACAATCAACTGATGGAACAGCTTGCATTCAGAAGTTGTGGGTGCTTCATCACTGGAAGCTGACAGTCCAGAGATTGGACTGTCATCTGTCAGAAATGGTATAGGGTTTCCTGTCTGAGCAGGGGGCTGGACTAGATGACCTTCAAAGTCAAACAAACAACTTTGTTTTTCTGTAAATTCTGTAAATTGCTAGGTTTTTCTCATAGTGACAAATCTCCAATGTTCACCAAAATAATTCATGGGATATTGTGGCAGTTCTGCATTTGGAGTCCTTTCATTATGGTATGGTACAATTTCAACAGTCTGTGGGGTCCTTAGGATGCAATTTCAGGAGACTGGAAGCAGAGTGAGGCACAAAGTCTTTCCTCTCAAAGCACAGATATGCCTTTAAGAATATGGCAACGGTCCAGTGCAGTTTCCAAAGAGGCAATTGCTCCTTTGAAACAACATTTCTTCATGCACTGATAAAACAGAACTAGAACAGAAAGAGATTCGTTGACCTTGTTCGCAATTGCAAGTCGGGGACTCATATCTTCCATTATTAGGACCACCACTTCATCTTGAAAACTTCTATGTCTCTTACTGAATCTATCAGTTAGGCCTACTTGAGCACGGTTCTCCACGTCCTTGTTTACAATAGATCCAGAGTAAAGGATATTTGCTCTCTCATCTTGTCAGTCTTTGAATTAGGAAGTCCAGTGAAGTGGAGGAAGAAAAGGAAAACAAATTCTGAGGGCTTAAGCCTTTGACAAAAAGACAACATTCAAATAAAATAAAGTATTAATTAATTGATTATACAATCAAGTCCTTTCTACCACTCCCAAATTGAAGGTGTCATTTTCTAATTAAATTGGGAGTTTCTGATGCATTTTAAAGTGTT